CCCCCCACCTCCCAGCCTCTGCTGTGATCTGGGCATGGAGAGCTCTGGGATGTGGCAGACAGTACAATGCCCCCCGCCCCCCAGTGCTGAAATGAATTATAGCCGTCTGGATCCCAGCCCTGCTTATATAGAGCATGCTGCAGAGCACGCAAAAAGGCTCCCTGGTCCAGGTTCCTATTGGTAGTGCCCAAAAAGATCCCAGGACAGATGCCTGGGTGAGATGTAGCTCAAAAGGGGGCAAGGTCCTCAGGTTTGAATGACCTCTTTGCCACCCCAGACTCATGCTGTGCCCTGGGGGCTTTTCTACAGCCAGTCAGCAAGTAGCAAATGGGCAACTGAGGGGAACCCAGCCAGAAGGAAGAGGAGGTATGGGAGCATCCAAACTCATCCCTGCCTCAGATTTCAGGCCAAGTTTTCCAGGTTGCTGAGGAATTAAAACAAGTTGGAATGGATCGTTCAAATCCCCCCCCCCAAAAAAATCACAGTCTACATTTTATTTGCACCAAGAGGCATCAAATTAATTTATTGTAGTGTGGAGCTCTAAAAATCTTGTTGTAGGCAATACCTTGACAGGAGCTCACCTCTCCGATTTTTACTTGCCATGCAGGACCCTGCTGTTCAGAGTGGGTCGGACTCTTCGTAGCCAGTCTGCAAGCATCGCCGGGGGGTTATTCCTCCTCCTGCATCCATCTGGACGACTGGAGCCAGGGGGCTTAAAACCACCTGACCCAAACCACAGAGTGGCAGCCTGTCTGGGCTGCCACAGATGCTTCTTACAGCCCCCATTTTCTTTCAGATGCTCTACTCCTTCTATACGTCCCTGCCCCTAGCACATGTCCCACTGCTGGGACTTGATCCACATGAATTTGCTGCCTCTGGTCTTTCCCATCTCTGCTCCACACTGTCACGGTCCATGTGCTCATCACTAGTACTAACCCCTCAAGGGTGTGGAGAGGCTATGGGGCAGATCAGGGGTCCAGCTCTCTAAGGCTCTGGCTACTGATGTGCTAAAGCCCATGTGCTCTGGAAGGTGAATGCAGGCCAGGTGGGAACTGGCCAGAGATGAATGAACCACTGGCCATGAGGGATCCAGTCACCCTCCACGGGGCAATGGCAGGTTATTCTGAATGCTGAAAGACCTGAATATCAGCAGATGGCCACAAGCCAAGTTAAAGACGTAACACGTCACCCACTTTACCTTCCAATGTGTTCCCTGAGCAATTCCCACGTAAGCAATTCCCCCCACATGAGGATGGACTGGCAACCACTCCACCTCCTCTTCTCTGCACTCCAGAAAACATTCTTTGCTGGGCTGATCTATCTGCTTTCCCTCAGACTCCTCCAACCTATAAATCCAATAAAATAACTGCTGCCAGCCTCCCAGGGGTATCAGTGTGGGCCCCTCTGCAGCTAGTACCACCTCTGTGCTTTGCATCTCTAGCCTTGGTGTGTTTGTTTCTAAGAGTCATTGAGATTTATAGCTGTGCAGCTACGTCAGGCCTTAAAATGCCATCGAAGCTCATCTACTCCCCCCGTTCAGCCAACCCACACACACTTCCCACTGCTGCACAGCCTTAATGGCAGTAATTTGAGGGCCTACAGCCTGAAACAGAAATGATTGCCAGTGATGGACTGGAGCGCATGGTGACTCACTCCTCACGTGCACTGGACCAATGTTTGCGCCACGTTCTCTTTGTCTTACGAGTATCCCTCTGCGTTTCCAGTTGATCGCTTGCCCATCCCAGCTCTTTACTAGCAGGAGGTCTCAGGATCCAGGGTTAGTCAGGCACGATTAGAACACCAGCCATGTCTCCCGATGTCCCCCACACAGGGTCAGCCCATGAATTCACATATTGCAGTACTCTGCCAGCATGCATAGGCCTCTCTTACCTAGCAACCCAGCTCCATCTTCATGCCACAAAAGAAAGCAAGTTGCTCCCAAGATGCACCCCCCATTTCTTGGGGAGTAAATGTTCTTCTTCCTAGATTCACAGAGCTGGAAGGGACTCCAAGAGGGGTGTTAATCCAATTCTGTAGCCATGGAGGATTCACCAGCTGCACCTTTGCACCACACATAGTCACCTTCTGCTCTTGTGGCAGGCCTTGCATGTTTCTTTTCAGCTTCCTGGCATAAGTCTTAATATTGCAGCCCTTCCCTGCTGAATGCTATGGAGCTGTCCATCAGTGTAGTTCATGTCTGGGCAGCAGCTCCTGAGTAGCATTTGATCTGCACATTGTGCCCTATTCAGAAGAAGGGTTTTGGCTGTGGGGAGCAAATTGAGTGCCCAGGGTGGGAAAGGGAGGGGAACAGAGGTATGCCTACCACTGAAGATGTGGGGGGGAAGGGTGCACAGAGATTCTGGTGCCCTCTCACAGTCAGTGCCTGGGGCTGATGCCCTGCTCATTAGTTACTCTACTGTGGGAAGCCATTTGGGCCCAAGACCTTCATAGCCCACAGGCATGCAAAACAATCTATCTATTGTATTAAGTCAGTCTATGGGGCATATGCCAAACCTGCCTTCATGAAAAACACCCAACTTTCCTTACAAGAAGCCAAGATAAATATACAACACGCACAGCTAGGCTAGGTCCTGATGCATTTTAACTCATTGTTACCAATGCTTAATGGGATTTGTCCAGCTTCATTAACACAAATAAATCAGTAGCACAAATTCCACCTTCAGACTGACCCAGAGCCATAGGGTTACTGCATACAGCCAAAATCCAAATGGGGCTGTCATAGCACATCTAAGAACTGTGCAGGCTTGCCATCTAATGGTCAAACAGCAAATGTCACCAGAAGAAAGGAAAAAAAAAGCATACTTCTATGAGGAGACTGCCTACAGAGAGCAGACCTTTGGCAGAGACCTCCCGGTTACTCATGAAGCAGATATGCAATACTGGACACCCTCATACATGACATCAATCACAGCTTCAGCAGACAGGCTAAAAATCATGGATGGGACTGCTAGCGATAACTACCTGCAAGGTTCCCAGAAACGTCCATACAAATCCCCTGTCTTCAGATGCGCAGAGTTTATCTACTAGGGCTAAAATGTTTCGTGTTGCAAAGTTTCAGTAAGAAGGTCTCATTCATTAGGTAAAAAGATACTGCTCCCCACTGAAGAAAGAAGCCTCCTCTCTGGGTTGGTTTAGCACTGCAAGTGCTCTGGAGTAAGGGCCTGGCCTTTGGAAACCAAACAGCATCTGCTCACTTGATTAAGAACTGAATCATAATGCCTTTGCACAAAGGGACCCAATTAAGATTGCCTACATGCTTTTCTCCTATTAGAGGGGAAGAAGGTGAACCCCCTTTTCACACCTTCCTACTGTTTTTAAATTGGCAAAATGTGGGGAAAGAATGAAACAAAAATGGAAGAAACCTCACTTTTTGCAGCTGTCTGGCAAGAAGGCTGCCAGCAGGTCACTTATTCTGCTGCCTTCCAGACAAGCCAGCTCTGATCTCAGGCCAATTTATCCTTCACCAATACAAACTTGAAGCTAAAACCCAACCTTAAAGCAGGGGACCACATAACACCCACCTCTCTCCAGACAGCCCTCCTCCTCCAGTTTTTAACACTCCTTGTGGCTCTATGCTTATTAGCTGGTCATCACTTCCAGCTGACCCTCAGCCTCCCAGCCAGGCAGACTATTACCCACTGACAGCCTGCAGCTGAGCTCTGAGCCCTTGAGGGCTGAGCACCCCATTAGACAGATGCAAATAGCACTTTTCCCCAGTTTGTTCCTGTTACCCTAATTTTGCTTTTGGCCAACAGTAATGAAGTGGGAACAAGTACGGGCTGCTTCACTTCCTGACTATGTGTTTCTGACTGCTTTCAGCCTTTGCCAGTTGAGATGGTCAGCCAGCAGGAAAAGCAGCTGCTATTTGAAACCACTTTCTCTGGAGTGTGCCTTTTTTAATTGAATCTTTTATATAAGAAAACAGGTTTGACATTTTGGGAAACCAAATTGTTTCATTAAAAGCCATTTTTTTCTCTGAGTCTTCTCTTAACAAAATCCTATTTGCCACTGAAAACCTCTTTCAATCAGAAACCTCTTTGACTGACTCTGTTTATAATTATCCTCTGGAATAACTGAGTCACCCCAAACAGGGTTTCTCTGTCACAGGCATAGAGGTGCAGCTTGTTTTCCCTGTGACTCAGATGCCATATTTGTAATTCTCCCCTTCAGGGCAGAACGCCCAGAGCACGGCTAATCCCCTGCTTAAACAATGTGGCCACTCCTTGCCTTACTGCATATACAACTGCATGTACAAGCTTTATTGAAATACCTGCACCTGCAAAACTGACTGAGGGTCCTTCCCACACCACAAAGGTTCACTTCCCCTGCACCTAGGATGCTCAGGCTCTGCTGCACTTCAAAGCACAGTACAAATCACTGCTAGTAATGATGCTGTGGGCAGGCTGTCTCTGGGGATTGAGCTCAGGGGCTCAAGAACAAAAGCCTTGAGGTGGTAGCTGTCACAAAGCACTATGCACAAGTCATGGCTGCAGATGAACAGACAGCCCCACCAAACAAGCATGGAGAGCAACCCTGTAAAACTGAGATGATGAAATTGCCAACAGGAGCCGAATGACCACCTGGCCACTGTCCTAGATGCCAGTTCTCCCTTTGGGCTATTTGGGCAGTCCTTTGCCCGTTCTGTGCTGTGTCCTTCCCATGCCACGTACATCTCTGGCTGCAACTCCATCATGGCCATCACCCAAGCCAGAGAAACAGTGACTGTGAAGAGAGGCCTTGTTACACCTTACGCTGTGAACCGCACAATGTTGATTGGCTTAGTGCTAACTTGGCATTTGGAGCAGTCACACCTTAAGGCTAAAAACCTTCTCTGATCATCTCCAACCTGCACAGCTGTGACTTACCACTAGCAGCTTCGTGAGCAGGGCTGGTGAGCCAGGACAGGCATCTAACCCTGCTCTATGGGCAGGGGTGTGAGAGACTGGGGGGGAGGGAGTAGGAACGTGTAATGGTCAACAGTCACATGCCTCCCCTGGAGCCTGGCGGATGCAGCATGCTGGTGGCTCACCATGATGACACAACTCCCCTTCCCCTCCTTTTCCTTTTCCTCCCCGGGCCCTACCAGGGCTCCTAAATGCTCCCACTAGCCATGGCATTGTGCTACAGAAGTAAACCAGCAGACTGGCACAGTGCAATGCTCCTGGCCCAGCCAGCAATGGAGCCGTCACCACCTCACTGGGATGGGCAGCAGAACCAGCACCAGAGCTCCCCTGCATAGTGCCCTCCACATCCTTGGTGCTGCCCCATGCAGCTTTCCTCTTTCTCATGTGCTGGGCCATGCTCTGCCCACCCTGCAGCAGCATCCTGGTACCCAGCTCTGGCTTTCCATGCCTCCCCCATCCTCAATCCCCACTCGCCCTGACCTGCCTCAAGCTGCCGCCATCTTCAGCTGCACGCAGAAACACCATGTGGGGGGTGGGCCACTGCATGCTGGGATACTGGAGGACTTCAGCTTGGGTGGCACAGCTGTGGGGAGTGGCCACACCTCAATGGAACAGGAGCTGGGCAGTGCGGATCAGAGATAAACCTGCCCTGGAGTGATGTAACTTTGAGTCAACTAATGAGTGCTTTAAGCCATTTAGAGGTGATAATGTGCAGCCAGACAAGGGGTTTAAGGCTCCAGAAGCTGCCGAAAATTACCCTGTAACAAGGCCCTGGTGCACCACACCACCCAGGGAGACAGACAGACAAACCATATTGGATCAGAGGAGGTGTAGTTCAGCCAGGGATGTTGGCCTACGTAGAGGATTAGGGGCTCTAGGACTCCAACCTGCGCATCCCAAGAGGCAGAGTGCCACAGGGCAATGTCCAGGTCTGACAGAGGAACTTAGCTTCATGCAAGTCAGTTTTAATGGGTATTTTGAAAATAAAAAAGCAAATGGCAAATAGATACATGGCATGTTGTTGCTGACGCACAGATGTGGGGAAGCACAGGGTTGCTGTTTGCTGGGGCATTGCCTGGGAACACTGTCCTACATGTCAGGCTAGGATTGCCAAGGCACCAGATACCACTGCAGTTCCAGGGAAGCAGGCATCCAAATTCATCAGGCTTGTTTGAGAACCCCAGGCCTTTCTCCAGAGGGCCTTGCAACTGCTGTCGACATCCAGCTCATGCAAATCTAGCCCAGCTCTTACTCCTAGAAGATGTACACCCAGAGAAGTCTCATGCCTTTAATACCAGTGCTCCATTGGGTTGCTTAATGCCTGTCATGAATGACACCCAACTCTTGCCTGGAGCTTTACCAAGAAAGCCTTATCTCAGAGCAGAGTTCCCGCTGCTGCTGGATCACAACAGATTCATCAAACTGAATAGCACAACATGTCTCTTAGCAGACATCAGAGCAGCCACAGAACATGCCCCCTGCTGTGGTTTCCTGGGCTCAGATGGGACTAAGGTAGGCAAGGGACTGGGATGGCTCTTTAGCTGGCATACATGAAGCATGGGGGCCCTGAGCAAATGGTCTCCCTTGCCCACGGTGTCTTGCTGATCTAACCAGCAAAGCCCCCAGATGTTATCGTGCCTAGTGCTCAAGTACATGCTTAGAATTAGCCCTGTGCTTAGGCTACTGGGGCAGTGCAGAAGGGGATTATATAGGACGGTGTACAAGGAGGGCATCAGGCCACCCACCAGTGACTTCTCTGGTCATGCAAGGGATGGAGCTGTGGGGTCTGGAAGAAGTTGACATCCAAGGGGGCCAGGCTGGGGACTGCTACTTCTACAGGAGTCAGGCTGTATGTCTGTCTGAGTGGGTGGCTGCAGAGAGCCTTGACCCCAGCATCTCCACCTTAGCCATATCCATGGAAGGCCTGGATGATTGCAAGGAAACACCATCATCCCATCCTGTTAAGAGTAGAGTATGCATCCTGTACCCCAGAAATGCCAACTTCCAAGGGCTGGTCCCAGCCCCAGGATGGATGTAGATTTCTACCCCCAGCCATGGCATTCAGGGGGTGTTGGAGCTAAGGGCTGGGTGTGTCCTGTCACAGGGTTTGGGCCTGGCTCTGGTCAAGTTAGAGTTAGAGGCATGAGACTTCTCTCTCCTAAGTCATGGCTGAGTGTAGCTGGGGGAGGAAGCAGGGCAGGAGGGACAGCCTGGCAGGAGCACGGGAGGGGTGTTAGCTAAAGCCATCATCTGTGGAGCATGCAGTAAATGCATCAGAGGGACAGGAGCAATCATCAGAGAAGGTGTCCCAAAAGCAAGAGCCCCCCGCCTCCCTAACCCCAACAGCCTCCAAGAGCAGAGCGGCAGGGGGTGCTGCTGTTTCACAGGCGCTGTCCAGGAGCTGAGAGGTTCTGCTGCGTGGTGGTGGCGGGGCTCAGGGCCTGTTCTCAGGCTGGCTGTATACATGATGAGTATTATAGCGTGTCACTGCCACGGGGGCCTCCTTGCTGTGTATCTCACTGCTTCCGCAAATATCTGTACTGTGAAAGGAAGGCGAGGGAACAGGTTGGTGCAGAGCAAGGGTTCAGCAAGGGGAGCAGTGTGTGGCTATCCTGACCTGTGGGTCAGGCACAGCACTGTCTGTACTCACTGCTGAGAGCTGCCTCTGAGCGATACCTACATGTGTCAGCTTCACCCCCCCTCTCCGGCTACCGCCAGACTCTTCTGGGCTGAGCTCCCTCTGCTGAGCCGAAGAGGCGGGTGTCAGGCTAAATCAGAGAGAAAGGGTTTGGTGATTTCCTATAGGCCAGTGGGGCTTCCTTGGGGGCTGATAACCACAGACCCTATGATCTGTCCACTGGCTGCTCCCACTGGTGAGAATTTAGTTGAGACCAGGATCTACCAGACCAGCTTTAGCTTTAGTTCAGATCCAAATGTCCACAGCCCCTGCAGTGTGGACATGACCAGGCTATCTTTAAACTACCCAGTTTGGCTCCTGTTCAGCTCCTGGGGATGGTTTCCAGCCTCTACTCAGCTGCATGTTGCTGGATTCGGTAGCAAGCTGGGTAGTTTAAAACTAACAGCAGTCTCTTCAGACACCGGCAGTCTGTAGAGAGGGTGCAGAGCTATCTTCAGTGATTAGATGCATACTAGGGGCAGATGAGTGGGGACTCACCATACGTAGATCAATGTGGCAATGAAGCAGGCCAGCAGGCTGGCCAAGAAGATGGACAAAATGGTTGTGATCACAATCATGCTGGCGCTGTGCCTCCTGGGCTGGGGGTCGATGGTGTCGGACTGTTGTGCTGGAGCAAGGAGCAGGGGGACAAGAAATGACGTCATACACAGAACTAGCAGGGACCCACACAGCAAAAAAGAGAGCTAGGCCCTGATTCAGCAAAGCACCTGCTTGCCTGCAAGCCCATGAATAACCCCATTGCCCTCAATGGGACTAAAGGTCTTCAAGAGGACAAGTCATGTACTGGGTGGGAGTGGTCTAGCCAGCAAGACACTGGCCTGGGCCTCAGCAGACCAGGGGTTATTCCTGGCTAACCAGGAATATTCCTTCCCCAGCCCTATCAGTTTCCCATGCAGTACAGGCACTGCAATTGCTGGCTCAGGGGCAAGGGAAAAAACGCAGCCATGTTACTTTCAGTTTTCTACTGCACCTCACAGTCCATGACACCCCTGGGAGGTAGAGCAGGGCTGTTACCCTGCTTTTACAGAGCACACAGAGACTAAGGGACTTGCTCAAGGATGCATGAAGAGGCTATGGCAGCCGCAGGAAATAACCCAGGCCCCTGGGAACTAAACTTG